TCCGGCTTCCAGTATAAATGAAACAGATGTTACATGTGTTTATAGCGCTGAATAATAGCCAATCCAACTTATTTTGGGTAAAAATAGGAAAAAAATCAATGTCTTTCTCCAGTGTACAGAAGTGTACAGGAGTGTTTTTGTTGTTAATTTGTTTTCAAAAATCACATTTTCAATCGCAAAAAACACTCTGATGTGCCAAGTGAACCGAACCGAAAACTGTGGTTGAAAAACCGAGGTATGTATTGAACCGTGGGCTAACTGTATTATTGCATACCTAATATACATATATATTATTACAAATCTTATATTATGGTGGATTAGAAAACAGAAGATCGCATGTTTGAAGCCAAATCGTGAAACTAAAAAGTAATATCTGGCAGATGTAAGGTTTACGATATTGTTTTAAGTATTTTAGGTTCATTTGAACGTTTAACTGTTCCCTAAATGATTTTGTGTGTGTGTGTGTATATATATATATATATATATATATACATACACACACAGTTGTGCTCATAAGTTTACATACCCCTTTTTTATAATTTTCACAAAATAAAAGGGATCATGAAAATGTAACCCTTTCCAAAAGTGTCTGTATGATTTTGAGATCCATCTTTTCAAACTGAGGACAATTGAGGGACTCATAACATTTACTCATGCACAAGAAGGCAACACGATGCATTAAGAGCTGGAGGGTGTAAACTTTTTGAATTGGATGATCAGGGTAAATTGTCCTTATTTTGTCTTCTGGGAAACATTTAAGTATTTATGTAGCTTCTTTCCTTATTTTGTCTTCTGGGAAACATGTATGTATTTATGTAGCTTCTGAAGTGAATGTACTAAATGAAAAAAATATTATCTTTAATCAAAATAAGAAAAATGTACACATCATCATCATCCTGTTCAAAGGCTCTTAATGCATCATGTTGCCTTCTTGAGCATCAGTAAATGTTTTGACCTTTTGTAATTATGTATGAGTCCCTCAATTGTCCTCAGAGTAAAAAGATGGATCTCAAAATCATACAGTCACTTTTGGAAAGGGTTCATATATGCAGAAGATGCTGGAAAACCAAAGAATATGCAGGAGCTGGAGGATTTTTCAGAAGAACAACGGGCAGTTGAACTGTTAGAGACAAACAAGGGACTCAATGAACAACTATCACAAAACATAAAAACAGTCATGGACCATCCAGGAAATTACACTATTGACAGTATTAAGATTTAAGGGTATGTAAACTTTTGAACGGGGTCATTTTTACAAATTTAGTTATTTTGTCTTGTGGAGTATAAATAAAGCATCTGTTATGTGAAATAGCTTATTCAAGACAGTACTAAATAAAAAAATAACATGCAATTTTCATGATCCCTCTTATTTTGTGAAAATTATTAAAATTTTTGCATATTCCTCAAGGGGTGTGTAAACTTATGAGCACAACTGTATATATATATATATATATATATATATATATATTACACACAAACACACATTATATAAATATAAAATTTATAAATTGAACACACCAGCAACCCCCCACTACTCA